GCCAAAAAGAAAATGAATGAATGAATGAATGAATGAATGAATTTAAAATCTGCTTTTATTGCAGCCAAACTAAAATAATTAAGACTTCCCCAAAATGAAAAATATTTTAGGAAAAATTATGAAAATTTCCTTGGTCTGCTAAACTTTACTTTTGAAATATTTGAAAAAAGAATAAACATTTTGACTTCATATAGAGATTTTAATTTTGACTTCAGCTAAATATTAATTCTTTATTTGAAATAAAATTGCTTTTGTAACTGACGTCTACTGTCACTTCTAATCAAATATATTAAGCCCTTACTAAACAAACAACCTTAATCTTGCTAACCTCAAACTTTTGAATAGTAGTGTAAAAACGTCCAAAACAAACTTCACTCGCATATGTGAGTGAGTGTCTGTATGTTTTCTTCCTACCCAGAATGTAGGGGTCCAGAGACAGGACAGGTGCCTGATGGGGCGAGGCCTGGGTGATGATGAGGCTGACCAGGCGTGGGTGAAAGCGTGCCAGTGTGAACAAAGCTCTTGCCACCACTCCACCCATGGAATGACCCACCAGAACTACACTTGTGGGGGGGTCTGGACGGTCCTGCAGCAAAAAGAATGCAGTAAAAACACAATTTGTTCAATGTAGATAATCTAGCAATAGTTGTGAGCTTCAAATGCACTACATGACTTCTGAGTACATTAAAAAAGCAAGCATTATAAACTTGCCAACTTTGTAAATAGATCAGAGGAAAAACTAGGCATCATACCCTAATTCACAGAAGATGAGACACTACTAGACTTTCATGTAAATACAGCACAAAAAAATCAGTCAGAAACACTTGCTTTGTTGCTAAAAGCAGAATGACATACAAAGAAGTCCATTTTCTAAATCCAGCGCAAAATATCAAACATCACTGGATATCAGACTGGATATTAGCTTTAAATAGCACTTTGAAGATCAAAAATGTTGATGAGCAGCGCTGATTCCTCCAGAGTGAAAACTGGGGTGAATGTCAGAGCAACCGTTGAGTAGTGTATGGCAGCCTTATAAACATTTTTGGTGCGATATTGATTCAGTATTGTAGGTGACTTTTCTGATGAATAATTCCAGAAAAGGAGATATGCAAATGGAAAAGAACAAGAAGTAAACAAAAAAGGGAAAAAAACTGAGGAAATAAAATGTAGGAAGAAGAAAGTAAAAGGACAAAAGGCAAGGCTTCTCTCTGACCTTGTAAAGGCGCAGGATGGCTTTAATGCTTTCATGCAGAAATTGAGTCTGTCTACGCAAACTGCCCCCGTACAGGGCCACCAGCTCCTCATTGAAGTCAATAGTGAAGACGTTCAAATGAATCTGTCTCTCAAGGTTCTCAGCCTTCCGCAACGCCACTGAACCCAGTGAACGAGCTGCAAGAGAGAGTAAAACAAAATCTCAGGGTTCCAATAAAATCTCTTTGAAAAATCTAAACATTTCAACAACAAGTCAATGGGAGGCCAAGACTGACCACACAAACTGGTTTTGTGTCCTTTGTGTAAGATGGAAAAGATAGAAACAATGTGCTCAGAATCTCACCTTGCTTGTAGCTGCCTGCATTCCCGGGCAAGAAGAGCACAGGCGCTCCGGTAAGCTTGAGTCCTCTGGTCTCCTGAGCATAAGCACCCTCTCCATACAGATACAGGCCGTATGATGGGTACTGGCGGGCAACGCGCCTCGGGAGCTGCACGCGCTGCAAACAAGCACACACAGACAGGTGTTTACATTCACACACAGAAAACAATGAAAACAACAAGCAAATCTAGTTGTGGAAAAGATTCTCTTAACAGCAAATCTTCAAACATATGGACGGACACAGTTGTGAGGAAGGTTTTAAACTATGCCATCTTTAAGACTTTCAGATGTTCTGGATATTGTTTTCTTCTTCTTTGGATAGTATGAGACTGTGAAAAACACACTTGACTGATCTTCGGGATCAGAAATGACAGGAGAAGAATTAAAAGTTAATCACTTTTCTACTCTAAAATACTTTTTCCCTAACAGTTGGATTAGTTTACATATAAGCACAATGTGCAGAATTTAACGATGAACAGTCAATGGCATTGACTAAAAACACAAAGTTAAAAGATAAAAAATTTAAACAAAATATACTACATTTAGAGATACAAATTCCTACTTAATATGATTAGTCTTTTTTCTGTATTTACTGTCAATATCGACAAAAAGAGGGTTGATGTATATTGAAGAGATGTTGTTTAAAGACTAATGCTGCTTGCGGCTTGCCAATGTTTGTTGTTGCCATTACAACAGGTAGATAGACAGGTATGAGGAACTGATACATGGCCTGCCAATGAATTGTGTCCAATACAAAACAATGTGCATTTTGTTAATCGCAAACCAAACGTGAGAAGAAAACAACGGCGATGGAGACTGTTAGCGCTGATACTCACTCGATATTCTGGGTACTCGAACATGTATGTCATGCTGCATCGGTTCTCCTCAAAACCAAATAATAATTCTCGCAAACCCACGAGCAGAAGCCCAAGAGCGAAGGCAAAAAACGCGTATACAACGAGTCTCATGTCTCCAGAAATTGAGCTTGACTTTATTTACAGATTCATTTTAATCGTGTCTCCGCTTTCCTTATTGTACACCCAACACTCACTGCCTGTTCAAACCTTCAGGAACCTCGTATGGACCTGTCACGCTCACGCAGCCAGCTTCTGGGCTGACGTCACGACGCAGACAGAGGAATGAGCCTATGGAGAGGGAAGACAGGTTTGTGATTTGACCAATTAAAATTGTCAGTGGGAGGGGAAAACGAAATGAAAACAGTGGGATCATCGTGCATTTACTACCTTCTACCTAAACGCAAAAAAAAAATTGGCAAAAAATAAAGACCATTACGTCACCTTCAGTTTAAAGTGAAGGGAGGTGAAAGTGTATGTATAACAGGCTCGTAGCCAGAGGGGGTTCGGGTGGTTCAAAGGACCCACCCACCTTCTGATAAATTCCAGATTTGGGTCCTATATGAGCTCATTGGTCTTATTTTTGACAGTATCCCATAATAAATTGTGAAAATAACCAATAGAATAAGGCTTTAAGAAGATTAACTAATAAAATAACCAATAAAATTTAAATGGACAAAATTCTGACTGAGGAAATGAGCTAGCCAGTTTGTCATTTGCCTAAACCCCAAAGGCTACGTATAGTTTTTCAAGCTTTAACAGATTTCCATTTTTTTCTGTTTTTTATGATGGATGATAATAAATTAGCATTTAAATATAAGTTTTTTCATATTTCTAAAATACTAATCTTATTACAGTATATATAAAACTGTAATAACTTACTGTTTAAATGAACATTTGTTAATATACATATATTTTTTGAACAAAAACTAGTATGATAAGCACTTTGACAAAAATGTAGAAAGTGTTTTTGTTGCACCAAAACGTGTGGTCATGATAACCATCCAAGAAGCTATTCCAGCACAAATTAGCGCTTAAAACGTCACTTACCGTATTTGAAACTAATAATTTGAGGCTAGTAACTGCAAAAAGGTCCACTTTTTAAGAAAAAAAAACACCCCTTTTGCTCGGCTGACTACAGGTCCATATAACCCAATTACACAATACATTTGCAGTATTTCTTTCTGCAGTCTGCTTTCATCTCTAAATAACACTCAACAATACTGATAGTAAAATAATATTTGGCTTTAAATTCCACTGTTAATTTATATTATATTAGCTTATATTATACTCCACCAGATTATTTTAATGGTATACTTTTAAATCTGGATATTTTATTAAATATTGTTAACATTTCCATTTAAAGCATAAACAGGCTAAAATTAAAACATCCATGAAAAAGTGTAAACTTTTAATAGTCCAGCTCTTCAAGGAAGGCACATGATTACATGTAGAAGCCGTAAAAATGCATGTTTTCATCTCTTTGTGCAATGAAGAAGAGGATGAGCATTGCTGCATTGAGCCCTATACAAAATGACCTCCAGCAGGCTTTATTACCGTCTTTGAAAAGACAATAAATGGAGACTTTCTGAGGACGGCCTGAGGGCCAGACATCCTCTAAGACACTTGCTGACACAATGGACTTTGATTGGCATTTGCCATTGAACATTGGAATTGGCAATTCCGTCACTGGTGCCCTGTGCCTTTCATATATGAGAGCAGGTTTATCCTGAGCATGTGTGGCAGACATGAGAGGGTCTGTAGAAGCTGATGAGAATATTAGGCTGCCTTTAACACTGATTAGCGTGACCTATTTAGCTGTGGGTCTGTGATGGCACCCTGTCTGCCAAAGATGATTTCCTTGGATCCATGGAGTCTATATTGGTGCAGTGCTCCTGCAGAGTTCCTCCTCTTGAATGACATACATGTGAGAGTGGCGAGAGTTTAAACTATACAGGCAGTACCTTAAGAAGGAAGGAATTGATATGCCCCCTACTCGCCTGAATTAAATATATTGTAACATCTCAAGGACATTGTTTTGGTGTTAGAGGAAATACCCCAAAACACACTGTCAGCATACCCTTACATTATATAATGTCAGGCATGCATACAAACCCATTACGTGAGGGCCATGATACAAACCATGAAACCATTTTGAGTTGCGGTCAAACAAATCAGCAAAATAAACTAGCCTGCGGCATCATATTTAGATTTTCTTTGAATGCAGCTCACTGTAGATCGATCGTTTTAATTTTCATCTAAAACGTGAAACACGTGACCCAGTGCATGTCTCTAGATGCCCAGCATGATTTCTTTCCCAACTGCAGTTTGATGCATTTTTAATGTGTTTTTTTTTTCTTGAGAAGCACTTATTTCAGTCACAGTGTTTTTAAAGTTTAAATAAACGTAGGTTGACATGAATACAACTCATACTTACAACAAATACAAGAGTTTCTGTGGCCCTCAGAGCAGCTCTGGAAATGTACACAGGCTGTATTTGCTTAAACACTTTGCAGCTTTTTACTTACACTTATAATTTCCAGAGTACCATATGATCAAGTTTGCAGTTCTGTTTTTGATTTATTGGTCAAGAAAACGGCAAAATATTGCATTACACAGTAAATATCATTCATGGGTGGATTCTGTAAGTCCATATGCATTACCCAAAATGTTCTAAAATCATTTTGAGAAGTCCTTGTTAAAAAGCTAAATCAATGAAACTTACAAAAATGACAAGACCTAATATTCTGCAATGAACAAGTCGTGATACACTGAAGCACCATTTATAACCTTCTGTTTCCCATAAAGAACATACAGAGATGACAATACCCCAGCATTATATTTCCAGCAAGAGTTAGAGAATCATGCCTGTACTTTGACATGTTGAAAAAAATACAAGAAAAAAAAAACCTACAAAATTTCTCTGAGAATTAAATATGCTTAGTCAATAAGTTTTGAGTGCTCTATTCTTGTGATGATCCAATCTGGAGTCACACCTTCAGTAAACTCCCTTTGGAACCTAAAAGAAAGAAAGAAAGAAAGACAGACATGAATACTATACTGAGGTTTACTGCAATTATAACATACAGTGATATTTATGGACATGAACTAAACGGTGTTTGAAGACTATTTTATTCATAATCATTAATAAGCAAGTTAAACTAAAATAAAATCAGAACTAAACTCAGACACAATAAAAAAAAGAGAGATCACAGAATACTAACTCATAATTGGCTGTAAGCAGTCTCTTGGTCTCGGTTTGCTTTTCTCTCTCATCACCAATTGCAACCTGGAAAACTTTCGCTCCATCCACACTTTCGTCAGGAAATTTGGCACTAGTCAAGTACCAAAAGCGCATCAAAATACTCACAAATTTCCTCTCTGAAAGATAAAAAAAAAATAGTATTTTTGTTTTGTTTAAAAAAAGGAATTACCCGGCTGTCACACGAACCATTTGAGTTAAAAGTATTCATTTAAACGCCCACATATATGCATTATTACTACTGTTAAATATATTACCTGGGCGAATATTGCGTAGTATGAATACTGCGTGGTCTCACCGCTATCATCGTAGTAAATGCCCACGTCTCCTGCTGTCATGTACATGATATCGTCCGGCTCCGCGGACAGCGCCCTCTGGTGGCTCAAAGGCAAATGAGCGCATTTTCCCTCGAGTTTCTTTATTAGCTTTGTAGAAGAATGTCGAATTAATGACTCACTTTAATCTCAAATAACCCTGATATTAACATATGTTCAGTATTTTCATGTACTTACATCTTTAGCTACTAATCCTTCAAGAGCTTCAAACTGACACTGAGAGAGCAATCTTGAAACGTGCGAGAAAGCCTGCATAAAATGAGATTAAAAATGAATCATTCACATAAAATGGGAATTTTCTCTTACCTTCTGACCCTTAGGCCACCCAAGATGCTTGATTTTTTTTTCTTCAGCAGAACAATAAAGATTTTATAGCTGAAACTTTGGCCTTTGGTGATCAATAAAATTACTGTCAAAAGCTACTGGTATTACAGGTACTGAGAATTGTTTTTGCTGTATTTTGTAAATTGTTATTAACTGTGTTAGATGTTATGGATTGTATGTTTTTTATTGCTATTCTTATTTTTTTGGAACTTTAATATGTAATGTAATTTTTATTTGAATACTGGCATAGGCTCATATATGGGCAAAGCTAAAATAATACTGGCTCTTGATTTTACATCGAGGTCTTATGAAGCAAAATGATTGGTATGAGCCAGAAAATGTACATTATTTGCAACATTAAGACCTTTAATCCACAACAGTCATGTCCACAGCAGATTGGACTAATATCACAATCATGCATATAAAAGAGCAAACTGACATGAGCAGATGCTGTTTGTTTGTTTGTGTGTGAGAGAATTTGTAAATAGAAGGCCACAATCTCAGATCAAAATAAATGTTAAACTGAAGCAAAAAGAAAAAAAATAGGTAGGTGAATAAAATTATGTTTATAATCCTAGAACTACTACTTCCTTTTTCCTTATGTTTTATTTAGTTTACAGACTTAAAATTAGACCCATTTAACTAATGTTAAATGTTCTCTCACAAAAATACATAAAAATATAAAAATAAAATCAATTTGCATCTAAAGCCATCATAGAACAAGCACTGTCATGTCGGACAATTTGAAGGGTTCAGATGCAAAAACCAATCATTGCCATCCGGAATGTACTTTTCTTAGCGTTTTTCTTCGATGTGTTCAGTCATTTCATTTTTATGACAAACAATAAGTTATTTTCGCTGTCTTAAAAGTGAAATAACTGAACATAAACATAGGAGGCTGAGAAAATGCTAATTTCTGAAAAAAATGTTCACATGGCACTTAAAAAGGTGTTTGCATCTGAGCTCTTCATGTCTAGCTTCAACCAGACTAGGTCTTTTCTGGCTCACCTGTATGGCTCCTTCCATGAACTCCTCGATGCTAAACTCTTTGTCAAAGTAAGCTCGAATAAGAAAGAAGTAGATGCGGTTTCGGAACCAGATAATGGGGTTGGGTATCCCAAACACCACAACCCTTGGGTTCCGCTTGCGTCTCTCTGGCTCAGAGCTGTAGCGACGGACATCACACACAACAGACGCCGCTGGTGCGAGCCGTCTGGAGTGATTCAATAAAGATGACTTCGATGTAAAATTGCGAACCAGGACAGAAACGGGCCTGTTACATATCCTGAGTAAGGGCAGCGCCATTTTTCTCCCATCATCCTCAGCGGCCCTTCTGCTAGAGAAGACCGAGTGACAACAAAGCCAGATGACAATAGTTCCACCTTTGCAGATAAATATAATAGATATAAACACTATGTTTGAAATTCTCAGAAAAAAACGGCACTGTAAAATTAAGATTTTATGTATTGTTTGAGAATAAAAATATTTTAAAGACAAAAATTAGAGATCTCCAGTTGGTGCGCGCCTTGTTCATTTAACTTAGGTCGTTTCTTTTAATTTAGTCATTTGTTTCAGTTCCTAAAACTGGTGTGGGTGATTTGTTCGCGAAATAACTGAATCGACAGATTTACCCAACTGTTTGAACACCTTTATTAAAATAATAAGCATAACTGTAAGTCTATTGTAGAATTCAGATCGTTTAGTCTAGAGTAGACATTTCAGAGAGTGAAGCAACCTGTTCAAAAGAGTCGACTCGTTACGAGTTAGTTTCCTGTCACTAGAAAGGAAGGCGAAAGGCTACAGATGGCAGCGAATGGAGAGCTATACTGGTAAATATGGACTGTCAGGAAAAGCTGGAGGTGCCCGTCTACACAGATGTGGACAAGGAGACGTTTTTAAGAGACATTTATCCACAGGTAACTCTCGTAATAGATAATAACAACCGTTTACTACAGTGTTATTGGTAAACGAATCACACGTGTAACGTTATCGTTTAGCGCAGACCTGCAGTTCTGAAGCGCGTGCCCATCGGGCCATGTGTGCGGACGTGGACGGTGTGTTTTTTGGCAGAAAAAGGGGGAGACCGCGAGGTCAAAGTGCATGTGTCCCCGGAGCCCAGGATGGACTTTCTGCACAAGAACTTTGTGTACAGGTGTGTGTTGAGCATGAATATTTTAACACGAGTCTAACACAAAATAAACGTGCATTTGTATTGCAGGACACTGCCATTTGATGAGTTCATCAAGAGAGCTGCAGAGGCAAAGCACCCAGAATTCTTCATTAGCGAGGTTAGTTATGAAGACATTTCTAAATTATTTAATTTCTTTACTTAAAAAACTTTTCAAATTTTAGTCAGTCCTCCTTTTATTGTGGTCACATAATGCACTAAACTGGTATAATAAACTGTAAATCAGTGGTTCCTAAACTGTGGTGCACGGAGGAATCACTGAGTAAGGAAAGAAAAAATAAATACAGTTTTAATCATTTGATGCATACGATAACACTAATTTGATAAGCATTGGCTGTTCTCTAAAGCCTACGATCAAAGCATTGTGCTTAGAATGTTTACTTCAGTGCATCAAGTCATCAGCTGCTAAAATCAATTTAAATGACGCAGAACTAAAGAAACAGGTAGCTGGTGCTTGCAGAGCAGATACGCGCTAGAGCAGTGGTCCCCAACCCTCAGGCCACAGACCGGCACCGGTCTATAGATCAATTGGGCCACACAAAAAATCATTAATTATTTCAGTTTTATTAATTATGAGTCTGAACGATTATTTATTTTGAAAAATCTTTTATTTTGAAAAATTATTGTATTCTCTTGTTACATTTCGGTCACTTGAGCATCAATATTTAACCCACAGGCTAGTAAAATGAGTAAGAACTGCAGCACGATGCACTTGCGTATTCCAGGTGTTCCCAGTTGAAAACATCTTAACTTTTCAGGATGCCGCACTGCGAGTCATGTGACAAGAACCGACTGATCAGCTTCATATTTTAATGGAATATAATTTCATTAGACTAATTATCTCAGACAAACACAGAACACCCAAACACTGCAGTGGTTTTTAATTTTCTTCATGAATAAAACTAGCATCAGAGTGCAGCAATGTTTTGTTAGCTTGACATCCTCTGAGAAAAACAGGTTCCCAAGCAATCTACATACAAGCTAATGTTTAGATTTCAAAAACTTTTACAAATTTGTCATATGTACATGCAATATATATTTCAAAATTTATTTAAAAATTGTATAAATATGAATATGACTTAATTTGGCCAACTACGCTACATTATTTCAATTTTGGTCATTTTGGTGAAAAAAGTTTGAGAACCACTGCTGTAAATTATTTGATTGTAATTTAGTGTTTCATCGTGGCCATTTAATGTAGGTATTGATGTAGTGAACTGACTTATTGTTGAGTGATTAACTAGGATCTTGTTGTTTCCACCAGGATGAAAGTTATTATTTGCGCTCACTTGGAGAAGATGCCCGCAAGGTAGTCTGAAGGACTTTTGAATTAAAGTAATTAATCCAGATGTTAAGGCTGTAGAGTTTGATTTGAATATTGGAAATTATATCTGATTTGTTTGGACATTATTACTGCATCATTGTCTTTCCTCATGAAGGAGCCTGCTGATTTAAGGAAGCAGTTTCCTGAGCTGGCGGAGGACTTCCATGTACCCCAGTTCTTTGAGCCGGAGCAGTTTTTCTCCAGCGTCTTTCGTATCAGTTCCCCTGGTCTGCAGCTGTGGACACACTACGATGTGAGTTTTTCACCCCAAAATATGTTACAAACTAATGTCATGCTGATCATCTGAAAGATTGTGTTATTTTAAATCTATTTTTACATTGAGTTCAAATATATTTTCGCAAACCTCACTTTGCTCTTCGTTTAATTCACCTATAAGAAAAAAAATAGACCACCTTGTGTGAAGAGCATCCATCACTTTCTGCTCAAACATCTATATTACCATTTCAACATTTGGCTTTACCATGATTTTTTTGTTTAAATAAACAATAAAAGTAGTCATATTGTAAATTATTTCTCTTATAATGTAGTATTATGTGATCCTTAACATGCTGACTTGGTCACAAGAAGCATTAGTCATTGTTTACATAGCTGAAAAAAGTTGTGTTTGAATGAAGTGTAGTGAGTGATACAGTGTCTTTATCAGCAATAAGTTTAAAGATCAGAATTTATCTGAAATGTACATATTATATATACATATCTGAAATGTACACATGTACGTATCTTTACTGTCTTTTTGGACCAGTTACATTTTTTATGTAATAAAAGTCTGTGTTAATCTTTAAAGAATTTACTGTAGTAGTTTTTGAACGTATTTAACAAGGGTCAAAGTTAATCATTTTATTAAGGGTGTTCATCTAAAAAGTTAAAAAAACAGCTGATACAACAGGAGGCGACACAGAGGCTCAGTGGTTAGCAAGAAGGTCGCTGGTTTGAATACCGGCAGGGTCAGTTGGCATTTCTGTGTGGAGTTTGCACGTTCTTCCCATGTTGGCGTGGGTTTCCTCTGGGTGCTTCAGTTTCCCCCACAGTCCAAAGACATGCGCTAATAGGGGAATTGGATTAACTAAATTGGCCCTGATGTGTGTGTGTGAATAAGTGTGTGGATGTTTCCCAGTACTGGGCTGCAGCTGGAAGGGCATCCGCTGCATAAAACATATGTTTGATAAGTTGGTGGTTCATTCCGCTGTGGCGACCCCTGATGAACAAAGGGATTAAGCCGAATGAAAACAGGAATGCTACATCTGTTTTTTTTAACCCTGCTTGTTTTCAGGTAATGGACAACCTCTTAGCTCAGGTTACAGGAAAAAAGCGTGTTGTTCTCTACAGCCCTGAAGATGCCCTCCATCTCTACCTCACAGGTGAACTTCAGCACTTCTTAAAGTGTGTGCAGGAAATAGAATTGACTTTATATACACCTTACTGATGTGTGGATGAAACAGTAATTGTGATGTTTTTAGGGGACAAGTCTGAAGTTTTGGACATCGACAGTCCAGATCTGCAGCTTTATCCAGAGTTTGTGAAGGCTCGTCGCTACGAGTGTTTTCTGGAACCTGGAGACCTGCTCTTTATTCCAGGTGCTCCCTTTATGAACCAGGCTTATTGGTTTTACAGTGAATATTTTTTATATTGTGAACCAAACATCTAAGTGTTCTTAATAAGTGATGAACTGCATTTCTAAAAGTGCTGCATGCGTTTGCTTTTCCTCAGCTCTTTGGTTTCACAATACTCTGGCTCTTCAGTTTGGAGTCGGTGTCAATGTGTTCTGGAGGCATCTGCCATCTGAGAGTTACGATAAGAAAGACCCATATGGAAACAAAGACCCAGTAGCAGCCACGCGAGCTCTGCAGTCACTGGAGAGGACTCTAGGCATCCTAGATGAACTGCCACCTGATTATCGGGATTTCTATGCTCGTCGAATGGTGCTGCGCATTCAAAGCAGAGCTTATATTAGGAAACCTATAAATGCAGCACAGGAAAATTCAGACACAACATAGTCCTTGTACTACACTGATGATAGCGTGTCATTGTTAAATTATAATAAATGCTTACTCGCCCACAATCATGCCGTCCCAACATGAAACATTTGGGATACTTTACAAGATTTTAGAAGACAATTATTAATTTACAAAACATTTAAGGTGGCACATGGTGACTAACTAACCTGTGACTGTTTCAGTCTTACTGAGGTTATTGTTAGTGATGGAACCACCAGTCATCGTGTTTCAATTTAAATACTTCATTCTACCTCTCAGCAAAAAAAGGAGAAAAGAAAAATGTTTGTTTTGGAAAACTATATATAGTGCATGTGAGGAAGTTCTCCTTATAGCTGGTGTGTGGTTGGGGCACTGGCGTCGTTGTCCTGTGGTTGCCATCGCACCATCCAAGTGGATGCTGCACACTGGTGGTGGTGTGGAGACCCTCATCCTGTATGTGAAGCGCTTTGGGTGTATAGCCATAAACAACAAATACGCTATATAAATAAACATTACTTACTTACTTATTGGTACAAATTCTAACCTTAAGAAATGTATTCTTTTAAAATTGCTCCAATAAACTGGTTGTTCACTCATGACACTGCCAGTAAAATAAAATGCATTGATCCCGTCAAGCTAATCTTTGACATCTTTTCCAAAATGAATCAAGGCATTTGGTTTTGAATGTCATCTGTCTTGTAAAATGCAGTAGTAAAGACAAAACAGTTCTGAAGAAAACATCCAGGTACTTATGGTCTTGGTTATTGCACCATTAATTATCACACATTAAGCAAACGTTTATCAATGCTAATTGCTTACCAAGTTTATATGTTATTTTATTTATTTTTTGCTGACAGGAGCACATGCTGTTTCAGCTTGGCTTTAACAGATGAATACAGTATCTCATGTGTTTGGCCTTTACTATTCTGATTTGAAATGAATGAATTGGTCAAATTAATTTAGACCTACATGTGCTAAAAGAATTGTATTGAAATTTATAGTTCATAAGTAAAAAGAAAAGTCACCAATGCCAAACAATTGCTGAACAGTTATTTAGCTAGCCAGTAATGCAGCTTCATGGAACAAGCCCAAGGAGCTTATTTGACATGCTTTGTTTGTCAAAGCCAGCAACAATATCAAAAGCGACAGCTCGGCTTGTAGATCCTCAAACTGCTTCCTGATTTCTATGGTTCTGCAAAGTGGTTGGATTGTCAGCAACAATAAAATTCTCTAAATCAATATATATATCTATATCCTCATTTATTTATCTTCCTGAATGTAGGAACAGCATGTTAAGAAGACCACTAAAGACAAATAATTAGAAGGGAAAACATTTATATAAATAGAAAGCACACAGATGGCAAAAGCCAGCTGTAAGACCTCAACATTATTCCACAAACTTTGGCTTTGGATCCACAAGGAAAATGATCTAGCTGACTCAAATAGTGTTTAAGAGTGGAGCACATGAAAGCATCACACACGCACTATCACACACGTCTCTGTCTTGCAACACCTTTCCAGCAACATTCACATTACATTTATGTGCTACAACAGAAAAGCTTTTCCATTTGCATTTTGAAGTTTTGAAAACAGACAGTGTTATCTAAACAAGCCCCTTTCATATGGATCAGTGAAAATGACTAAAAATCGTGTATTACTGCCAGGCCAGAAGATGGCGATGTCATGTCCTCTCACATATACATTCCTCTACAGAGCTTAAATACAATCAAGAATGAACATGTTTTTAAAAATTCAATGGTTTAGATGATAAAAACTTTCTCTTTGAAACCTGTTTTAAAGATTTGTGTTTCCAGGCCCTTAACATGGTCTAAAAACATTTCCACATTGTGTAAATTCTCCAAGACCTAAAACACACAAAGAATATGAACACCCAGACTTCCCTGAGCCTGATCCTCAGTCAGATTTCATTGCATAACAGATCCTCAAATCTTTCTCTAAATACTCTCAGGCAGTCTTATATGTTGGGCTCGAATAAATTTAGTCACTGAAACATTTAAATTAGACAACTGACATCCTAACTTATGAAACTACAGTGTTTGAGCTTTTAAATGAGGCACACAAAGAGTCTTCCTGCATCATTCAGAAAGTCTTGATTGGGTTCTCAAACTCAACCCACGTGGATAAACAGGAAATGGCACGGTTGCGGGATATGATGTATAAGGGATCTCGTGGACGTGTTTATTGTTTTAACTCATAAGGTGCAGATTGATGATGAACAGAGAGCTCTTTTGGACGCTGACTAATGGAGCTCTAGAGACGAGAACTCCTGATGAACTGTGGAGATCATGGGACATAAGTTAAACCATTAGGGAGTTGTTGCTGTTCCTCGGCCAGTCTTTATCTTCTCCAGCCTTTTGGAGAGGTGGCTGTTACTGGACTCCAACTCTTCAATCTTATCCAGTGCAGATCGTAACTGCCATGTAAATAAAATCCATTAATTGTGTTTATGTCAGATGTTGTCAGTTACTTTGACTATACCTGAATTATGTGACTATTGTACCTCTCGCTGCAGTTTGCGTTTTTCAGCTTTGAGCTCATCCTCCACCTTCTCTGCATTTTCAGATGCAGCTTTATACCGGCTCACCTGACCCTCCAGCCTTGTGACCTACATGGGTTCATTTAAAATCACGCAAGATGTCATTTCACTTTTTAAAAAGGGGTAAAGATTTTTAAAATACATTAAAATAACTCACGTTCTGTTCAAGAGCTGTGATTTCTTGCTCTGACTTGACAAGCTTAAATTTGAGGTCATTGACTTGCCTGATGGCATCCCCTGAAACGAAGAACAGTTAAACATTTCTCAACATCCAAGTTGCAGGTCTTAATTGCTCTCTTTATTTTGAGCTGAACATACAGGGTACACAAATTATCATGGGCCCATTTAGACATTCTGTTAACAGAGTACCACTCTAAACAATGACTCTCATACTCTCATATACAATCTAATCAGAAAAAAAAGAATAAATATACTGTGTGTGTATATATACACACACACACATACACACATACACACACACACACACACACACACACACACACACACACGTATTCATTCATTTTTTTCTTTGGCTTAGTGCATAGGTCTTAAACTCGATTCCTGGAGGGCTGACGCTTTGCACAGTTTTGCTCCAACCCTAATCAGACACAGCTAATCCAACTGATCAAGGTATTCAAGACTACTAGATACTATTAAGCAGGTGTGCGATGGAGCTGGTTGAAGCTAAATTGTGCAGAGTTGTGGCCCTCCAGGAATTGAGTTTGAGACCACGGGCTTAGTCCCTTTGTTCATTAGGGGTCACCACAGCAGAATGAACCACCAAATCCAGAATATGTTTTCACAGCGGATACCCTTCCAGTTGCAACCCAGTACTGGGAAACATCCATACACACTCATTTACACTCATACACTACAGCCAATTAAGCTTATTCAATTCACCTATACCACATGTCTTTGGATTGTGGGGGAAACCAGAGAACCCAGAGAAAACCAACTGGACATACAAACGCCACACAGAAATGCCAACTGGCCCAGCCAGACTCGAACCAGCGACCTTCCTGCTGTGGGGCGACAGCGCTAACCACTGAGCCAACGTCAGAAAGTACAACATCTACTAACTCTAACTGTCTAGCAACACTTTATTAAGGGTGTTGGGTCTTTAATCAGTAGGTCGTGTATATGAATTAAGGCAATGGTAATGACAGTTTGAACCTTCACTCACTACACATTGGGACACTGAGCATAACATGAAAATATCCTCATTGTCCAACAGCAAAATTAGAATTTATAAACAACAGCAAACTGATATTTTTTTAAATATATATATTTAAAAGTACATTACAGATAAATAAATATATTGTTTTATGTTCTGAAAAAATGTATAAATTATTAATTGTTAATGATTGTACTGTAACCATTTAACTAATTAAATAAAAATAAAGTATTTCCAAAAATAAACAAGTCATTTGTTGTTTAAGTTGGTACACGTGATGCATATTTTGTGCTTCAGAAGCTTTCAGGAGTATAGTGAACATCAGTGCTCCCTGATTTTCACAGTACATTGGAGGAACCTAATCAGGGTGTGTACGTTTTGGTGCACTACAAGAGTTTTGTGATTGAGACAGCCCTTGATATGGCTGAACCCCCGACTGAACATTGGAGCTGACTCAGACGTACCATAAAACTTTAATGGGAATTATCTGACTGATTAACTAAAGTCCAGTAAAAGTAAATGATGATCTCCAACCTATGCCATATCAAGATATAAGAGATGGTAAGCAAACTATATATAAGCAATGTGATGGATGCAGCAGGAATGGGCAGAAATATTCAAGTGACTCTGACAAATGGCAAATATTTTTAGAAAGAAAACTGGGTCAGTGTCTGTTAAGCAGTAAGGTTTGCGTTTAGCTCCCAGTTAGCAAGGGTGAGAATTGTCGAACGGCGGTCTGAGCAGGGACAAAAAGGCAACAAGGTGTTAGGCACCAAAGGATGATTATTTCATATCCAATGGATCAAAGGCATCTGATCCAGGCAAACAACCATAGAATGCAGCTAAAATGAGCATGTTGGTGTTGGGCATGTCAGTAGACTTTGGAGTAGTGGGTGAAGGTGGTGTAGTCAGAGGAGTCCGGTTAACTTTTACATCATCATGACATACAATTGACCAACGATGACTGTATCCCACAACTCACAAATCTATCACTAATATCTTAGTAGCAGATATTAATTGACCCCTGAGGTGTTGCGCTGGAGAACCAACAGCACATTAGACATTGGCCTATTGGTAGTCTATTTGCAAAAAAGTTACTTCTAGTCAGCAGAATGCCAACACAACATCATGAAGAAACCAAGAAACATTTCCCAAACTTGTGCCCTGGCGAAAAGTAGTAGGCAGTTGCTTACTCTGTAGATCCATGATGTTGGAGTCAGCACCATTCTCCATCACATCTCCATCTGGGCTGGATGAGTTCTCTGTGCCATTCTTTGGTTTCTTTTGCTCTAGTTGACCTTTTAATCTCTTTACCTGAAACAAACACACAAACAACATTCTAGTAAGTACACAAGATAGGTGTGAGTCAGTGTACACTAAGTAACTGTCAGAAACACACCTGCTCTATCAAGTTCTCTCTTTCGTCAACCAGTTTCCGTAAGCGAATTTCTGGAAAGAAAAACAGGTTAAATGATGTAGGGGTATAGTATAGTACAGTATAATATAGTATAGCATAGTTTACAATAGTATAGTATAAGAGAAAACTATTTCATTTTCTTGCAGATTTGCAGCCACAAAAATCGAACCACTTTTGTGTACATTTGTACTTACATTTGTGTTGTGCTACAACTTTAATAACATATGTAATTGTCTTCTGCAATAATTAAACATTACATTGTGGTAAAAAAAAAAAAAACTCCAAGGTTAGACAGGAAAAACTTTCACATACCAGGGGTGGGAGGAGCCAAATGCATGGAGTGGGAGGAGTCAGGGCATGCAAGAGTGAAGCTATCCTATGCTGGGATGTGAAGGATGAGTATGGACAACATGCAAACACTTCAGCAACCTGAGAGGCTTCAGCCTGATGCAATCAAATCTCTGTTTACACAGTATGTACATTCAGT